ATATTTGAATAGGCTATAACAAATATCTAGAACAGCTGAACTATCACGTTATTATCATTATTATTATTATTGGTGGGAAATTATAACAGAGGAATATATTTGCCTTTTTAATATCAAGAACACTTCTGCGTTTTTGTGTGTATACAGGAATGTTAAAGATATCATTGAGGAAAACGAGGTTGACGTGACGTGATTGAATCAGGGAATCCGTGTGTCCACCACGGGAGAAGACCCTAATTGACTTTACATTGGCATTGTTTTCGTGGCGGCAGCACGTAATTTCAACCCATTACGTGCTGCCACCACGGAATGCGGTGTTAAGAGGTTGTGGTCATTTCACGTATTTCTGTGAGATCAGGTTGCTTGTGATATACCTGGACACATCAGCAGTGTTGTTTGCTAGGGTCATTGTCTGCTGGTCTTTCAACAATTAGACACTCTCACCCAGGCAACCCATCAAGTGTTGATTACACCGGGGCTTACATACAGATAGAACTCCAGCACCCATGGCTCTCCTTCCCTAATCCACAGCCTCTTTGATGTCATTTTGGCTACCTTGGTGACATTCCTGATGGCCTTTTGCCTTTTGCTGGAGCCCATTATGCCTAGTGAGTTTTAGGCCTTGGAAAGGGACTGGCCTGCAAACTTTGACATCTCACCATAAGGCCCTGACACACCAAGCCAATGGTCTTCCGTCAGTCAAAGTTGAGCTGTTTGTGAGCGTCTGCTGCCCTCGTTGACGTGGTGTGTCCTACACTGTTGCCCCTTGTTGCTCCCTGTCAGCCTTTTTTTCTGCAGATTCAGCGTGTTAGATCAGTGTCGGCAACAGGAGAGTACCAGGTAAAGAGTAAAGTTATCATCCAGATGACTGCGAGCAGTTATTGTATGGTTATGAAGCTCTTAACCTATTACCTGCTCTGCTTTTACATAACTCACTCTCCTGCAGTCACACACCTCATCTGTCCCAGAGTTACACCAATATCTCTGGTAGTCATAGCTACCCACACTCAAATGCTCTTAATTATGACAACTTACTCCAGATGACAGACCTGCACAGCGTGATAGTGACCCTTGTGTCGACTTTAATGACTGCTCATTTTAGAACAATTATTTCATTAAAGGTACCATAACCATACCCCGGTTACCCAAGACACTGTGTGAAAGACTGGCAGGAACGAACTGTCCTGGGGGACTCATAAGCAGAGCAAGAAATTTTAAGTTGATTCACAATTTTTCATTGAGTTGTGTGAACTGTTTCATGTTTTTATCTCCAACATGCCTGTACTTCAGTTAGGAGACACAGAGGAATGAAATAAATATGAATGCAGAATATAAGTGCACAAAATAACAGATGGATTGTGCTGGTAAGATTTAACAAAAGTCTTTGGGGCTTGGACACCAGAGGGAGACTATTTGTGATCGTGGGACATCTGAGCTGCGGCAGGATAAATCCCCCCCATGGAGTCTAGACACCGGTGAAGGTGGTGGTGGTTGAAGACTTTGGTTGATGACTGATGAGGTGAATAGAGGCTGCATCTGAGAAGACTAGGTGGTGATGGAAAGGTGGAGGGTATGCGCAGCAGCATCATGGAAGGACTGCTGGCAGAAAAAGAACCATATTTAAAATGAGGAGCAGTAGGATAGGCTGACGGAGAAGGTGTCGCTGTGTTATTATTTGGTTGTAGAGCAGCTGATGACTCGATTGAGAGCCCCAGACACTGACAGCTAGACATAGAGAAAGAGCATACCTCCAAGGAGGAAATGGGTGAGGAATAAAGTTACAGCCTAACTATGAAAAAGTATTATCTTCCTGACTGAATTTTCACTTAACTTACTGAAAAATATGACAGAAAACATGCTTTTAATATTCTGATTTCCAATTACAGTTTCTCTCTATGGAGGAGAGCATTAGGTCTCTGCAGGGTCTGCGCCCACAGCAGAGAGCCATCAGGGGTGAAAGTACATTGAAGCTCTTGCTGATATTACTTCCTCAACCTTCATTGCTTAATATTGTCCTTCTCTCGCCACTAAAGTAATTTATACCTAAATACATGAATTAAATGTTTAAACGTCTCTATTGTGTAGAAAGTAATTAAAAACATTTGATATCATGTAGTATTGCAGGGCTTCTCAAAGTCTGGACCAAGGTACTATATCCAGACCAAGTGGCAAGTCAATCCGAACCCAGCCCATACCTTATGGTATGACTACAATATGTTATGAAGTATAATGTTGTAAATTAAGTCATTTGTGGCCACAGACTATATTTAGTATCATAAGGAAAATGCAACTACATTTTTTTCCTGATAAGTCTAAAGTCTTAAAATCTGCTAGTACAACTGACAATTTTATATCACATGACAAAATCACACTTTAAAGGGATAGTGCACCCAAAAATTAAAATTCAGCCATTATCTACTCACCCTCATACCGAGGAAGGCTCTGGTGAAGTTTTAGTGTCCTTACATCCCTTGCGGAGATCGGCGAGGGGGAGCGGCAACCACATATAATGGCAGACGGCGCCCCAAACTAAAACATCCAAGAACACAAACTTGAAACCACAAAAGTATCTCTATACTGCTCATCCATAGTGACCCAAGTGTGCTGCAGCCGCGACATAAAAAGTCGTTCTGAAAAACGTCATGTGAACTCTGTTTTTAGCCTCATTGTAGCCTGTAACTCACCCGTGTTTACATCACGTGACACGTACACTGCAGGGGGAGACAGGAGTAACCATATATCCGAGACTAACGCCATTTTCCGCCTGAACTTCCTCCACAGACTTCTGGAGTGGACGCCATCGACGGAACTATTCTAGTTTTATCCATTTCTTCATATATATCCATCCATTTCCTTTTATATTTTATTCATTTGCGATGGTTCGCGTGTGTGTTTTTCCTGGATGCTGGAACCAAATGAAGCGTTTATCTTTGAGACGCACTGAGTTAACTTTTCACTAACTACCAATTCATGACCCCGAACAACTACGGCTGTGGCTACTCGCCCTTCACCTGGATCCAAACTCTCCCACGGAATCACTACGGTCACTGCGGGTGAAAAAAAAAATACATGAGACATGCCATTTGATGTGATCAAACATTTAGATTTTTTCTCAGATAATTACAATGTTGTTTGATTAAACAAAGTTATATTACAATGCCTAAGCTAAACTTATTCAATGCCTCTTTCTAGCAGACTCTGAGCACTCCTTCACCTCATCCTGCTGCAGAAGAGACTGTAGGTGATGATGATGAGGCCTTATTTGCACATCCTCTACGGCAATCTACACCAGTGAAGCCGAAAGTGCAGCTTGCCCCACATTGGTCACATCAAACTAAGTATGCACCTAGTCACATAAGGTCCAAAACATCCACCCTTCACTGACTATATAATTAAAATTGTCATTCATAGATTATCTCACTTTATCAATGTGTAGTATGTAAAATATTAGCTTTTGTGTGTAACTTTTATTTCTGTAAATTAATAAAGACAATGTGAAAGCTCCAAAACATGAATTATGTCATGGTCATTTTGTTCAATTTAGGATCTACAAGCATAGACTGAACTGGACAGTATGGAGCACAGCTTTGTGCATGATGTCAGCATGTCCTCAATCCAATCAGATGCCAAAGATCCCAGCTTTTTTGTTCCGAGTTCAACTTCCACTTCAACTCCAACTTCAGAGGAAAATGAGGAAATAGGAACATGGCAGGAAAAGAAATGGTTGGTCAACCAGTCCAGGCTGATGCAGCTGTTTGAAACCTGCCATCAGTGTGGAGGGGGGATAATGGAACCAAGCATCTCGTCTGCTGGGAGCCTCATAAGGATAAAATGGGACTGCCAAAATGGACATAGTGGTCTGTGGAGTTCGTGTCCTGACGTTTGTGGGATGCCAGAGAACAATCTTCTTGTTGTGGCATCTACACTTTTTACTGGTGCCACATACACAACCATTGCTGATTGGGCTGAGCTGCTCAACATCCAGCTGCCTAAGAAATTTACATTTTATTCAATCCTGTCATCATATCTCATCCCTGTCATTGACATCAAGTACAATGAGCAACACAAGGCCATCATTGAATGTCTGCTTCATACACAATATGTGGTGAAAGAAGGAGTGCATGTGTCGGGAGATGGGAGGTCAGACAGGTAAATAAATATTATTTGTATGTACTTACATGTAAATATAAACGTCAATCTCTCAAGATTACACTATGTTACACTAACATTTGCTTTAATCTTGTCTCAACATTTCACATCCCAGGCTTCTCTGCCAAATACAATACCTACAGCTTCATGGAGGACACAACCAAAGAGATCATCCTCTTTGAGTTAGTGCAGGCAAGTGTGACAGTACATAACTATATAATTTAATATTTTTTTCTTGATGATGATGCATGTTATCTGTTTGCAACAACTTTTTTTTTAAGTTTGCATTGCACATCACAAGGTGTATCAGGTATGGGATGTGTAACATTATTTTTTAAACAATAGGTGACCAAGGCATCCAGCTCTGCAGCTATGGAGCCAGTGGGGTTTCGGAGATGGCTGGATTATCTCCTGGAGGAAGGTGTGGAGGTGGAGGTGGTGACCACCGACAGATCACCATCTATAAGGAAGATAATGCGGGAGGATTACCCAGATATTCATCATGAGTTTGACATCTGGCACGTTGTCAAGGGTAAGTAAATGGGTCAGGGGTGTGTGGGGTCCAGGTCAGGGGTTTGGGAAGGGGTCAGGAAGTGCTCTGACACCCCCTTGTGGAGCCCCACTTCACACTTAGACAACTAGTTGTTGAAGAGATCTAATGGAGTCTGTGCTCTTTGTTGCTAGGGCTCATGAAGAAATTACTGGCAGTGTCCAACCGAAAGGACAATCGTGACCTTCAGCCTTGGATCAAATCCATTTGCAACCACTTGTGGTATGCTTGTGCATCTTGTGGAGGTGACCCAGAGGTGAGTAACATCACATTCTTTCAATTATACAATGTGTGTTGTGAATATTTTAAATAGTATATCCCAATTTCTGTATTTGATTTTATGGATGAATTTTACTTATTCTAAAATTTTGACTGAAGGATTTGATAAAAAAGTGGCAGTCGCTACTTTATCACATTTGTGGTGTGCACCGTTGGGAGGAGGATGGAGGAGAGAAGACATGCCAGCATGCTGACCTCAGTCCAGAGCAACAGAGAAGAAAGAGGTGGATAAAGAAAGACTCCCCTGCCTTCAAAATCCTATCATCCATTGCCCTGGACAAGGGTCTAATGAAGGACCTGACACACATGGCTCTTTTCAAACATACAGGTTCGTATTACCCATGCAAGTTTTGTCCTGCTTCAATGTGAAAATGACAACAGTCAGAAAAAATACTGATCACAGGTACTTCTAATATCAATCAAAATTTTGTGTTTTCAGGCAAGCTTGAGGTGTTCCATGCATCGCTACTCAAGTACACAGAGAAGAGACTGCATTTCCACTACTCTTCCATGAGAGCTCGCACACAGCTTGCCATAATGGACCACATTGAAAATGTTCAGCGTGAACAGGCCACCACAGCTTCCGGTATGATACCAGCAAAATAGAGGCAAACCTATTTTTTATGAAGTATCACACAAGTAATATTTTACTTTTTTGTCATTAGATGAGCTGGATATTTGTCATTTTATTTGTCTGATTTTCTGTATGGGCACTGGACAGCACTGTCACATATGGGCATATTATATAGGCAGGTAGCCTATATAACAATAGGTCATTCACTGTTGTGGAAGGGCAAACAGGTTTGACTATGTGGAACTCAGTGTACTAGTGTAAGCTACTGAAATGCTAACTCACAGAGTATCTGGTTGATGTGCTCTAGATTGTCAATGATTGTTCTGTTGCTTTCTCTGTCATAAATAGATTATAATTATGGATATCAATGTTTTGTTCTGATTAATATAAAGTATGCTATTTAAGAATTATTTACTTTATGTAATTATTTTATGACCTGATCAAGTACTTTTGCCTTTTTCCAGGGCGTCCAAGATTCAGTGTGGTTTTCCCCAAAGCAACAAAAGATAGGGTTGCCAGAAAGATCTACCTGCCTACAACCCAGACCTTTCGGCAAAATTTGGTGGTCGAAGCTCTCCAGCGACGCTGGGACTCTTCTGTCAAGTTCAAGGACCCCACATCCCGTGTGTCTGAGCTCCCATTACCTCCACACATAGCCACAAAGCCTAAACCTGACAAGGAGGAGGTGGTTGCAAAGCATACATCTCGTTTTAGTAAGTGATATACACTTGATTTATGGCCCAGTCCAGCCCAGCCCTAACCCAGCCCAGCACAAACTCAGCCCAGTCCAGCCCAAAGCCCAGCACAGTCCAGAAGAGCCCCACCCAGTCCTAACCCTGTCCAGTCCAGAATAGCCCAGCCCTAACCCAGCCCAGTCAGCCCAGCTACATACATGAAAATGAAGAAAAACAGCATTTTTTTTTCCTTGAGCACAAGTATACGTGCGAGTTTCCAGCACCACTGACCCGTGGTGTTTGTGTTCTGGTGGTTCTGATGTTGTTTGTATGTGTGATCATTGATGTTCATTCCATTATAAAACTTTCTCCAATAAAGTTACTGTGTAGCCTATGTGTAGAAGCTTTTACTTGTCATTTTCATTTCTCATAATAAGGCAGTTCTATATATTCTCTTAGAAAAATTAACTTTATTCAAGGCACCGGACGATAGAGAAAAAAACAGGATCCACAATAAACACAGGCAAATAAGACACTGTCATAACCAATTCACAGTCAGAAAAAAAAAGCAGCTGTACAATATCTGGTGCTGTTGCTAAATTAGTTCAAAGGCTTCTTCAGCCTCTTTGAACCCAACATACTGTCCAGTGGGGGGTGGATAGTTGTCCCAAATGGCTCCAACGATACAGGAGGGCAAAACTTTTCTGTTGTGTCTGCCGAGTTTTTCTCCTCTCAAGGCCCACTCCAAAACAACTCGATAGGCCACCAATCTGCACTGGCTGTAATAGAAGAAATACAATGCATTGTGATTTCACATTTAGGACAGCACGTAATGCTGTAGCATTGTAGTGGTCAGGGGTTTCCTTTTATTTATAAGCATAAATATAAATATGCTTATAATATAAATTTATAAGCATTTATAAGAAAGCTTTATTTAACTATCAATTAGGCTTACGGTAAAAATGAATGACTTACTCCCCTGAAAGCCTGCCATCTGGTCCTGTGGGCCTCTGCCTTTTCTTCCAGTTGATCTTGGGGAAGTAAAAAAATGTCTCCAGAACACCACGGGTCAGCAGTGCTGGAAACTCAGGGTGATTGGTGATGCATGGTCTCTGAAGAGCAGCAGTCTCATCAGTACTGATGTCCAGATTCTCAAGTGCAGGCATCACCAATTCCCAGTCTGAGCAGCAAAGACTTTCCTCATCCGTTGGCATTGCTTTGCATTTGAAACAACTACACCACCAGGTTTCCAGTGCTCAACTCCGGTATTCTGCGGTTGGCTGAGGCTCATGAACTGCGGCGGCTGCTTCGTCCAGTAGCCTGAGTTCCGCGTCCGTATACTCGGGCTCAAACAAATACGGCTCAACAAAGAAATGCTGTTCCTCCTCAGTTTCAAAGTCTTCAGACATGTTGGGCTGTCCTTTGCTAAAAGACCGTAGTGCAAATTATCTTTTAGCTACTGTGGTTACTGTTGTCTCCCCCTGCAGTGCACGTGTCACGTGATGTAAACACGGGTGAGCAAAGCTCATGCTATCGCTGGTCTCGCGCAGGCACGCGCACGGGAACGCAGAGCACAGAGAAACAGTCAGAGCTACAGGCTACAATGAGGCTAAAAACAGAGTTCATATGATGTTTTTCGGAACGACTTTTTATGTCACGGCTGCAGCACACCTGGGTCAATATGGATGAGCAGTATGGAGATACTTTTGTGGTTTCAAGTTTGTGTTCTTGGACATTTTAGTTTGGGGCACCGTCTGCCATTATATGTGGTTGCCGCTCCCCCTCGCCAATCTCCGCAAGAGATGTAAGGACTCTAAAACTTCACCAGAGCCTTCCTCGGTATGAGGGTGAGTAGATAATGGCTGAATTTTAATTTTTGGGTGCACTATCCCTTTAAGTAATCGTCAAAATCAGGATATATATTACAATCTATATTACTATATGCCATCTATATGTTCCATATAAATAAAAGTTGCACAGAAAAGTTATTAGGCATACAAAAGGTGAAAGTATTCACTTGAAGCCATTCTCCATTATCCCCAATGTATTTTGAGGAAATATGTCTTTTGTCTCTATTTAACCTCAGATCTTGCTTTTTTAAGATAAAGACTGAATCTCAAATACATATAAGTGGAACCTCTGTCTCACACACACTCACAAATGCACATACACGCGCACACACACACAACTTGTGTTTGCAAATGGATGTCAGTCTCCATGTACTTACAGTCAAACTAAAACTAATCGCAAGGGGTGCCTTTTAGAGCCCATTCCCACATCCTTTTTTAAAACAGTTTATAGCTTTTTAGATGAAGACATTCTTAATATTGTAAATTATTCACTTCAGATGGATGTTTTCCCCGCTGCTTTTAAAACTGCCATGGTTAAGCCTCTATTGAAATGAAATAACGTAGACACCTTGGTACTTAACAACTTCAGACCAGTGTCCAATCTGCTATTTTTAAGTAAAATTTTAGAGAAGTTTGTTTTTATTCAATTAAATGATTTTATGGTCTCCCAACAACATTTTTGAAAAATACTAGTCTGGCTCTCGAGCTTTCTGCAGCCTTTGATACAGTTGACCACTCACTTCTAAATCAAAATCTGGTTGGCCTCTCTGGTACTGTTTTTAACTGGTTTAAATCTTATCTTTCTGATTTTATGTAACAATAGATGAATGTTCATCCAAAAGCTACAAAATAGTGGAATAATTTTTGGAATTTTGTAATCATGACTATCATATCATGACTATTATATAGTCATGATAAAAGATGTCTGTTGTCTTTTGTCTTATATACATCAGTGAATACATTAAGCAAATTGGGCTCACTGTCCTCTGTTTGTTTAATTTCTTTATTGAAGTAATCTCTAACCTGGAGATATTGAAAAAAAAAGTTTTTTCCCAAGGTTATAGACATTTGAAATCTGGTCAAAAGACTAAGTCATTACCATTAGTTATAGTGCAGAAAGCCGTTAAACCATTATGTGCCCATTGCCTAAACTGCGTATCTAGACCAGAAAGTATAAACTCTGGATCAAATGACACCCATTTCAGTGTTTTCACATGTTTCTCAACGTGAAATCTTTTACAGGTCTTAAACCATACCCTAAGAGCTACCTTAGTCCATTGGATTGCTTTATCCAAATAGGAATCCTGGTGTTGGTAATTACCTAGTGTAGACTGTGCAGGTAAGTCAAATTGCATTAATTCCAAGTCTTTCCATTTGGCTGAGTAGTCCAGATTGCACCAGCATACCAGTGGTTGTAGCTGGGCTGCTGTGTAGTAGTCCTCGATACATGGTAGGCAAAGTCCACCCTTATCTTTCGATAACTGTAGATTTCTATATTTAATCTGTGGCCTCTTACTGTTCCAAACAAATCTTGAGATCATCCTATTCCATTCAGTGAAGTCTTTGGAGGGAACTGCAATAGTGAGTGACTGGAATAAGTACCAAAACCAGGGCAGTACATTCATTTTTATTGTTTCGATTCAGTTTGACATATCTAATGGTAGTACGTGTCATCTATCAAGATCAGCTTTAATTGCCTTGGTAACATAATTAATTTCATATATTTCAGAAATAATTTTTGGGAGCCAAACTCCCAGATCTTTAATAGTAGGGGAGTCCCATTTGAAGTCGAATTTACTTCATAGATCAGCATTCGGTGTAAAATTATAATTAAGTATTTGGGACTTATGTGTGTTCAATTTATATCCTGAGTATAAGACAAAGAGTTTAAGAAAGGACATTACATTTGGTACACTTCGCTCTGGGTTTCTCAGAGTGAGAAAAATGTCATCAGCAAATAAGCTTATCTTGTATTCAGTATCCCCAATTATAATCCCCTTAATCTCTGGATCTTCCCTTATTGACTGGGCTAGGGGTTCTATAACAAATGTGAAAAGTGTGGGGCTGAGTGGGTACCCCTGTCGACACCCTCTCTTTAGTTTAATGGGTCGGGATAGGTGTCCATTAATTCTTATTCTAGCTGTGGGGGATGAGTATACTGATCTTATGCATTGTACTGATCTCCTATTAAAGCCGAATCGATTTAATGCTTGATAAAGGTATTCCCATCCCACCGAATCGAACGCCTTTTCTGCATCTAGACTTATTAACATTGCGCTTACATTTTTCTCAATCACATGGTCAACAACATGCAGTGCTCGCCTAATGTTGTCCTGTGTTTGTCTTTCACGCACAAACCCTGTTTGGTTTGGGGTCTATTAGTAAAGCGACAATGTGTTCCATACTTTTGGCAATAATTGACGCAAATAATTTGTAATCAGTATTTAAAACTAGAAATTGGCCTGTATGAACCGCATTCTCCCTTATCCTTGCCCTCTTTGGGAATAACTGAAATTACTGCTTTGTTCCATGACTGGGGCATCTGACCCTCCTTAAGGGTGTGGTTAAAGCCTCTGAGGAGCATTGGCATCAACTCAGGCTTTAAAGTTTTATACCATTCACCAATGAAGCCATCAGATCCAGGTGCTTTATTTGCCTTAAGTTGGGAGATAGCATTATTCGGTTCAGTAATGGTTATCTCTGCAGTCAGTGCACTATTTTGGCTTTCTCCTGTTGAGAGAAGATCCGGAGAGTTCAGGAACTGATCAGTTATTGAGATATCGGGTTTATTAGGTTGAGTGCATAGGCCTTTGTAGTAGGCTTCAAATGTTTACTGAATTTCTTCTAAATTGTAACACATTTTGTTATTGTTTGTATTTCTTATTTTGTAAATTGTCCTCTCGGTTTGTTGTTTCCGTAGTCTCCAAGAGAGAAGCTTCATAGCCTTAGGGCCAGTTTCATAATACTTTTGTTTGGTAAACCTCATTTCCTCTCAATTTCCTCATGATAGATCTTATTAATTTCTTGTTGGATACACTTTAATTGGACCAATACTCGCGGATCTCTTTGAGTAGCATGTTGAGTTTCTAGGTTTCTCATTTGTAACTGCAGATCTGATAAGTGTCTTTGTTTTTCCTTTTTCCTAAAAGCTGTGTAAGCTATTAGTTTACCTCTTAGTACTGCCTTTCAAGCATTCCACAGTATATTGGGTGATACTGATCCATTATCATTATTTTGCAGGTACTCTTTTAATTAGTCCTTTATGTATTTCACACACTTTTATCATTCATTAGACTGGTATTTAACCTCCATAGTGTGTCCTTCTGTTTA